CTGTCTCTCTTAGAAAACATCAGAAGTGACCTTCAACTGCTGAGAACAGATGTCGGGAAGTTGAGTGACAAGTTAGACTCTTTGAAGGGAGAAGAAGATAAAAAGATGGAGGTTGGTTCCGTCATGAATGAAAAAAGTATAGTCAGTCTTGTAAAGACTTCTTCATTAATTAATTCTCAGACTTCCGAGTACACTACAATAATAAGAATTGAACTTAGAAATTCTCTGAGGCTTCGCTAAACACGTACGGCCAAGAAAACGTTAATTTTTTCGCGAACTTTGCGCTCAACAAAACCGTCTCTAAAAAAAAAAGATAACCAACACATAACATTGATATTCCAGAAGATACAATATACTTCTAAGAGTCACACGCAGCCAAATTTCTCATTAGCGCGTGCACCAACATGGCGCCCTTCAAAAGTAAATCTATGCTATGTTTCTATAACATCATTTATGTGTTTACTGGCTTTGTAAAAGCCACTAAGCATATTGTCGCGGCCTTGAAAGATAGTCCGTAACTGCGGAAACCCGGCCCGAAGTTAATACGATGAAACGTGATTGGACATCTGAAGTTCGATCGTGTACTGTTACGGAGCTCCCGCCATGTGTTTACCTACAGCTTAAACTTCGTGCGCGTTGTATAACTTCAGGGTGAGTAACAATGTTTTCTCCTTCTTTTTCTGTGGGATGCTGCTGTGGCAGGCCTAAGCGTACGGTAAGGTTTGCCCGGCGTTTCTTTTTCATCATAAATCGTTAAGCCGCAATTTTCGAACACTTTACATCAGTTACGGTTAGTAAATAAAATGCTTCAATTTTGCTGATTACGTTGCTCCAAAATTTCCATGTAGACACATTTACTAGATCTGCTCAAGACATCTTGTGGGTACTAGTTCAGTTGTTCTGGAGCGCTTCACCGTCGGTTCAGCCCCACTTTAAGATTAGGATGGTTTCTTGTTTTCGGTAATTCAGGTTAGCATGGTTTCGCGTTTTCGGTAAGTCAGTTAAGTGATAGAATATTACTTCGTTGCTATTTTGAAACCAAACATGTGACGAGAGGAATGAGATGTTTTCATACTTGTTTGGAAGTCAGATGACGCTCGTAACGCCGACTTTGAGCCACGAAGTACATTTGTCAATAAAGTGACGGAAACATTTCCTAAAAAAAGGATAGGAAGAATAGCGGCATCTGAATCTTTCCCACAGTTCCTTGTATCCTCGAACATCCAAAGCAAAATCGACAAAAAAGCAAAAGAAAAGAGCGTATCCATTACATATAGTTCTACCACGATAAGAATTTTCAAACCGTTGTAAAGCCCTAATTAACATTTTTGATCGTATGCTCTTCAATCCGGATGAGATCTGCATTGACGGCCGATTTTTAATAGCATTTGGTTTGATAAACCAGACATCCTGATTGAAAAACTGTGTAACTATAGTCTTGATTAATGCAGCTTGGGTCTTATGCGCTCCTTCATTCACAAATGCAGGTACTGCACGGTCATCCCCGGAGGTGCACAATCTTCGTCCCAGAGTCTCACGCATGGAGTAGTACCACAGGGGTATGTACTCTCTCCACTACTTTTTCGAGTATCGACCTTCTAAAAGGAGTGTCGCAATCAACCACAGTTGACATCTTTGCAGATGATCCAACTTTGAGTTTCAGGTCCTCGCCATACACAAATACTTCTGGACTTTGTTCTAAGCTCTGTGAGAGCACCCGTGAACTCGAGGACTGGTCTAGAACTAACCATTTCAAGTTGAATACCGAGGAGAAAAAGTCTATGTTTGTGACGGGAAGTAGGCTATTCACTCAAATCGGTGGTACCGGTGTCAATGCGATGAAAATCTTTACCGGTAATGGGGACGAACTAAACAACACCACAAGTCACAAGTTACTTGGAGTCTCTTTTGATCAAGACCTCAGCTTTAGTGGACATGTTGAACAACCATGTAAGAAACTGAAAAAT